AAGGGCCTGAGTTCAATCCCTGGTTCCGCCAAAAAAATAAAAAATAAAAGGGGCTGGGATGTAGCTCAGTAATAGTTTTCTTGATTTATTTTTCGGCACCACCACCACCAAAAAAAAAAAAAAGCAACTATGCATGGTGGTATACACCTGTAATCCTAGCACCCGGGGAAGCTGAAGGCACTGAATTCAAGGCCCGCCTGCACTACATAATGAGAGCTTGCCTAAAAAAAAAAAAAAAAAACAAACCAACAGTGAAAAGGGTAAGATCATATAGACAGAAAAGTAACATGAACCTTACTAGAACCACACATGGCAAGAAGCAAACCTTTGAGAGACAAGTGCCCAAACTGTAATCCCAAATTGACATCTAGCCCAAAGTGCCAACACTGCAATTAAACCTGCATATTGAGGTTTTACTTTTTGGGGAGATGGCTCAATAGAATAAGTGCTTGCTTGGCAAGCACAAGGGCCTGAGTTCAATCCCTGGTTCTGCCAAAAAGAAAGGCTTAAAAAAAAATTTTTTTTAAATGCATTTAGTACAGGGTCTATAGGGTCTCACTACACAGATTGGACTCCTAGTGAACCTCCTATTGATCAGCCTCCCAAGTGCTGGGATTACAGGCATGTAGCACCATGCCCAGTCTCAATCACCTCTCGAGCGCCCAGGTCAGGCCGGCACACCACAACAGGGATGGAACCCTAGTCCCTGCATCTGCCTAAGCAGACACTATTCTGCTGAGCTACCTGGCTAGCCCCTAAAACAACTATCATCATTGGATGCTCAGCTTCAGGTTGAGCTGGCTCAAGCCCGAGCGGGAGGGTGTGTATGCTGCTGCATGTGTACTGCAGGTTTGCCACCCCTGCTCCACAGGAACTAACTTCTCATCGGGGAAGTCAGCAGAGGCTAGAAGAATGCAATCTGAATCTTGCAGGTGCCCATGAGGTCGATACTATATCACAACAATATTAAGACGACGCCATTTGTCTCTGTGCTTTTATGTTCTCTGGAGTACACAGTGGACTTTTCCAAAGCTATGTGGCATAAAATACAACAATATATTGGATACACAAGCAGCTAGCAAAAACCAGCTGTCTTGTATTAAGCCATTATAAATATCTGCAAAGATGCAAAACAAGCTCAAGCATTTGATTACATTTTTGTCAATTAGGGCTGACCAGAAAGCTCATCGGATTAAAGTGCCTGCTTAGGCAGACGCAGGAGGTTTGACCCCAGCCAGCCTGCCATGCGCCTCCCCATGTGATGAGACTGGGCATGGTGGCGTATTTGTGACCCCTGCCCTTGGGAGGCTGAAAAACAGGAAGATCACCAAGAGTCTGATCTGTGTAGTGACAGCCTGCAGACCATGTACTAAAGATATTAAAAAATAAA